TTGGTGTGTGTGTGTGTGTGTGTGTGTGTGTGTGTGTGTGTGTGTGTGTGTGTGTGTGGTATCGCAGGCCGTCTTTCGGGTCACAAGCTGCTGTCACACTTGGAGTCTAAAAACCAGGGACTTGTAACTTCAATGTCAAGGGGGGGGGGGGTGTTAGGGTTGACCACCATTTTTCATCAGTGCTACTGGGTACTGGGTACACTTACTTCCTAACCATCTGCATGACCAAAAAAATGCTATTTCCTGCACACACACAAAAAAAAAGACCATTCAAGGAGAGCACAAAACTGCTGAACAGCAAACCAGTGTTCAGTGCAAGAACAATAAACTTCATTCTGCGTCACCAAGTCCAATGAGATCATTATCTAATCACATCTTGTAGCCTGTTTTGGTCGTTTTCCAACGGTTATATTTACAAAGATGACGGTTGTACAAACAAACTACAAATAACAATGAATGTTGCACTGCAGAAAATGGCGCCAATCCCCCGAATGCTCAACTGCTTCATTTTTTTTTTTTTTTTTTGCCAAATCTCTCAATTTAAAGCAAAATGATCGTCTTTGCGTGAGTAAAGTGTTAAGTCGGTATCCCGGGAGACGGTTGAAAGTGTTGCAAAACACAATCTCCGCTGTTTACTGTTTCCCGAACCCCCCTGAGACTCATTAAGAGAGTCGAGCGGGCGTCTGCGGAGACCGGAGACTTTGCGTTTCCTATTAACAGCTCGCAAACAAAAGAAGTCATTAAACGTAATGAGCAGCAAACATGAAGCCAGACGTGACATGCAAATCCCCATGGGGGAATTCTAAAATGTTGTCGTCAGTGACGCACAAAAACATGACACCAAGGTCAGATTGATTTATTCTTGAAAGGTGTAAAAAGATACTTTCAGAAATTGCAATGTTGTCATCTGAAGTGCATTCGGCGTGTTTTGCACTATATCAGGAAAGGTTTGTGTCTAGAAACCTTTCACCAGGAAAAGTTTGGGTGCTAAAATATACAAAACCCTTCAATTTTGTACGATGAGCCGGCGACGAAGGAAAATTGAAGAGGGGTGCCACATGCGAGATTAAGGGAACGGTCCAGCGAGGATGATCCATTTTTCACTCAAAAAGTCAATTTATTATTTTAGGAAAATGAGAATAGCTTGACTTTTCCGTTTTATCAGTTTGTTTTGGAGAAGTGAGTAAAAAACTGAAATTCTCTCAAAAGGCTCCAATCTGCTCAGCAACGTGACAGTAAAATCCACAACGTTGTCCTGATGGCGTCTATATTTTCACAGTTTAAAGTGAACATGACTCGCGCTGTGCATATGAACTTTTACTGACGATTGCTCACCATTTTGAAACATTAAATGACAGCAGAACGTGACAAAGCAAGGAAGGAGAAATTAGTAGAAAGCTGCTGGCCCCCTTCAATGACGTAGTGAGGCTCAAGTGTGCAAAAAGCATCAATTCTTGGGTTCATTAACATGTGCCGAATGTAGTCGGAAAAAATCCGCATTAAATCACGACTGAATTTTTCAGGGGTCAGAATTTTACTTTTGGTATATTTTTTTACTTACAGACCTTTTACATAAGTGCCAATGTTCATCAACAGGCCCTTTATAATTGTAATCTAACAAGAATAAACGTGCATATCTTCAAGAGCAAAGTCACGTATTTTCCACACTATTGTGTATCGATCACAATTTCTGCGGAGTTCGTACATTTCAGATCAACTGCACTGAAGAAAAAAAAAATCATTTGGTTCCATTGGATTAGCTCGATTCGAACATGGATGTCGGTTGCGTATGATTGAAAAGTGTTCAAGTTACATACTCGAATGCTTTTTTGAGGAAAAGAATAGAAATATCACGCTAGTTGAACACATTCTAATCCTGTGCAACCGAAATTGAAGCACTTTTGTGTGTGCGTACAATGTAAGTTACTTTGATTCGTGTTTATCAGTGTATGTTTCCTACTACCGCTGACCAGCACTAGGGGGCAGAAAAACACACCAAAGAAAACAACCAATCAAGCTTTCCCACTTGGGCTCCTCCAAAGATTGATCGTGTTGAGTGTGGCTCCACCTGTTGGCTAGTTGTTAGTAACGCAGCATTTCTCAAGCTTTATTGAGCCAATTCAGGCACACGATTGGATTTTTACGTGACACAAATCTCACGGCACCTGACACCAGCAACCACAAATGTCACAAAAACGACATCAACTACAGAATGATCTCAATTTAATCACATTTTGCCAACTAGCTTAGACATGTGGGCATGAAGACCAAGCCGTTCTATTGTGTGAGCGTTAACAAATTGACAACACAGGATAATTGTATATTCTGCCATGTAGCCCTACCTATCCATCCATCGATGTAATACACTACACAATTTTAGTCTGATGACAACGAATTTGTAACAAACAAACGGGCCATTTTCTAAAACCTACGAGCTTGAGGAATGTCGTCGATCCCTGACACAGGATTTGAGGATTCTACTCCTAAAAAAGTGCACTATATTGTCCCGGATCTCTTTTGTCTTGATCCCGTAGACGATGGGGTTGAGCGACGGCGGGAAGATGAGAGTGGAGGAGCCCATGAAGCCCCTGAAACTGGGCGGTAGGTGCTTGACCCTGTAGGAGATGATGGTGAACAGCCCCAGACACTCGAGCAGCAGGAAGACAAAGAGGTGGGTGGCACACGTCTGCAGGGCCTTGGCCTTGGTGTCGGATTGCCTGCCCTGGAAGCACACTAACAGGATGCGCACGTACGTGTACACGATGACACCGTTGGCCAGCAGCTGGGTGATGGCCACGATAAACAGCCCGTACGCGTGGTTGACGGTCGTGTTGGCGCACACCAGAGCCAGCAGGGTGGGCTGGTCGCAGTAGATGTTGCTGATGGTGGAACGGCAGCGGGGCAGGCGCAGGAACAGGAAGAAGAGCACGCCGATCATCAGCAGGCAGGCCAGCCAGATGGCGGCGATGATCCTCACGACGTGGCCGTACGTCATCACCACGTTGTACTTGAGCGGAAGGCAGATGGCCACGTAGCGGTCGTACGCCATGGCGGTGAGGATGAGCACGGTGCCCGCCGCGTAGATGTGGATGAAGAAGGCCTGCGTCACGCACGCCGGGTGCCACACGCGCCCCGAGTCGCTGCGCAACTCCTTGAGGAGCTGCAGGAAGAAAGCCGACGAGCCCAGCAGGTCGTTGACGGGCATGTTGAGCAGGAACAGGTGCATGGGCTGCCGCAGGTTCTTGCTCAGCACGATGGTGAGGATGAGGAGCAGGTTGCAGAAGAGGATAACGGTGTAGCTGAGGCTGGCAAAGAGGAAGGCGGGCACCGCGCCTTCAGGGGGGATGCGGAAGTGCTGCCACACCAACATGGAAGACGCGTTGTACGAGGTCTCCATCTTGCATCTGGAATGCATTCATTCTCTGTTCTCTATGTTTACACTACTCACAAAAGTTAGGCATCTTCTCTGTTGAAGTGAAATTTCAGGATGAAAAGTCATCATAAACAAGTCGGGGTGGGGGTGGGGGCATACTTACATCATTAGAGTGGTAAGAAATCTCGGGATGGATGTAAAGTCATACTCACCAATGTCTCGCCTCAGTATGTACTTGCAGTCGAGCTATAATTTAGCATTCAACGCTAGTGCAATAATAATAATTTGCATTTCATTGCGACACGGTGGTGTCAATGAGCGAGATGGTCCGGGTGTGAGGCGCCGCTTTTGTAGACGCCAGGAGATGAGCGACAAGACTGAAAACTCTATTGGGAGCTCGAAGAGGTTTGGGCTTTGTGAACCTCGCCAGCACAACAACAACATAGCGACAGGAGATGAATTCATCTCTTGAGGATTTTCATCTGTCGGTCTCTCTGTCTGTTTGTCTGTCCACCTACCAGCTTACATGATCTACCCATCGATTAAATTCACCCATCTCCGACAAGACTGAAAACTCTATTGGGAGCTCGAAGAGGTTTGGGCTTTGTGAACCTCGCCAGCACAACAACAACATAGCGACAGGAGATGAATTCATCTCTTGAGGATTTTCATCTGTCGGTCTCTCTGTCTGTTTGTCTGTCCACCTACCAGCTTACATGATCTACCCATCGATTAAATTCACCCATCTAACACGCGAGCTTCAGTATTGACTGTAGCTGTAATTCTGTCTGTCTTCCGCATCTGTATGTCCATCTGTGGAGCTGTCTATCTACATATTGGTCTGTCATCTTTCTATCGCTCTCTGTTGATCAGCAAGCCATAATTTTTAATGTGAATGGGAAAAAAAAGCCCGATTAACTAAAACAAGAGACAGATTGTTTTATTTTTTCGGATGTAAAGTATTCGGATTATACTTATGGACAAATTCAAGTCAACTTGCATGGCCCTTAATCACAAAAGGGTCTCAAAGGGCTACACAAGCCTACATTTGACAAATATTAGCAGCATCCCTCCAGATAAATGCCCCAACTGGGTAGCTCAAAACCTCATAAGGCGGGAAAAAATAAGAAATCTTCAAATGGGGCCCACAGGAGAAATGGGTTGTATTTTTTATTTTTTTATTTCTAGTAGTCAAAATTCAACATCAACAGTGGCTCGATGGCTCGGGGGCTAAAACACACACACACACACACACACACACACACACACACACACACACACACACGCACACACACACGATCATCAGCAGGCAGGCCAGCCAGATGGCGGCGATGATCCTCACGACGTGGCCGTACGTCATCACCACGTTGTACTTGAGCGGAAGGCAGATGGCCACGTAGCGGTCGTACGCCATGGCGGTGAGGATGAGCACGGTGCCCGCCGCGTAGATGTGGATGAAGAAGGCCTGCGTCACGCACGCCGGGTGCCACACGCGCCCCGAGTCGCTGCGCAACTCCTTGAGGAGCTGCAGGAAGAAAGCCGACGAGCCCAGCAGGTCGTTGACGGGCATGTTGAGCAGGAACAGGTGCATGGGCTGCCGCAGGTTCTTGCTCAGCACGATGGTGAGGATGAGGAGCAGGTTGCAGAAGAGGATAACGGTGTAGCTGAGGCTGGCAAAGAGGAAGGCGGGCACCGCGCCTTCAGGGGGGATGCGGAAGTGCTGCCACACCAACATGGAAGACGCGTTGTACGAGGTCTCCATCTTGCATCTGGAATGCATTCATTCTCTGTTCTCTATGTTTACACTACTCACAAAAGTTAGGCATCTTCTCTGTTGAAGTGAAATTTCAGGATGAAAAGTCATCATAAACAAGTCGGGGTGGGGGTGGGGGCATACTTACATCATTAGAGTGGTAAGAAATCTCGGGATGGATGTAAAGTCATACTCACCAATGTCTCGCCTCAGTATGTACTTGCAGTCGAGCTATAATTTAGCATTCAACGCTAGTGCAATAATAATAATTTGCATTTCATTGCGACACGGTGGTGTCAATGAGCGAGATGGTCCGGGTGTGAGGCGCCGCTTTTGTAGACGCCAGGAGATGAGCGACAAGACTGAAAACTCTATTGGGAGCTCGAAGAGGTTTGGGCTTTGTGAACCTCGCCAGCACAACAACAACATAGCGACAGGAGATGAATTCATCTCTTGAGGATTTTCATCTGTCGGTCTCTCTGTCTGTTTGTCTGTCCACCTACCAGCTTACATGATCTACCCATCGATTAAATTCACCCATCTAACACGCGAGCTTCAGTATTGACTGTAGCTGTAATTCTGTCTGTCTTCCGCATCTGTATGTCCATCTGTGGAGCTGTCTATCTACATATTGGTCTGTCATCTTTCTATCGCTCTCTGTTGATCAGCAAGCCATAATTTTTAATGTGAATGGGAAAAAAAGCCCGATTAACTAAAACAAGAGACAGATTGTTTTATTTTTTCGGATGTAAAGTATTCGGATTATACTTATGGACAAATTCAAGTCAACTTGCATGGCCCTTAATCACAAAAGGGTCTCAAAGGGCTACACAAGCCTACATTTGACAAATATTAGCAGCATCCCTCCAGATAAATGCCCCAACTGGGTAGCTCAAAACCTCATAAGGCGGGAAAAAATAAGAAATCTTCAAATGGGGCCCACAGGAGAAATGGGTTGTATTTTTTATTTTTTTATTTCTAGTAGTCAAAATTCAACATCAACAGTGGCTCGATGGCTCGGGGGCTAAAACACACACACACACACACACACACACACACACACACACACACACACGCACACACACACACACACACACACACACACACACACACACACACACACACACACACACTTACACTTTTATGCATGCATTGAAAAATGTATCATCAAAAATGAAATATATTAAGAGGAGTAAATAGTAGAAGCTGTTGTGTTTGAAGTAGTGAACATGGCGGTCGTAGAAATTGTAGTTTGAGTAGTCGAGATTGTATTGTAGGTAATATCGGCTTGTATTCGTGTCGCTGTCGTGTGGTGGAGGCTGAAGTACGATTGTAAGATTTGCCCTTGCAATGTTTCGTCCACTTCAGGTTCCAAAAGGAGTAACACAATATTGAGGCGAAAGGAGCCAGGGCGGGCAAACGTTTGAGCTCAAGGGCGATGCTTCATTTTTTTTTTGTTTTTAATAGCCAGCTCGTATGAAATCAGTCATTCTCCTTTTTCTTTTTTTTATTTGCAGTTGACAATTATCTTCATCATGCCGTTCACATTTTGAAAATATGAGACCAAGACACCACCCAACAATTGATCAGCCGTGCGGCGCCTTTGCGAGGCTTCAGGCAGGATGTCCTGAGAGGCGAGCGAATTGAGCTTGTTTCAGCACTTTTGGCACAACTTGCTGTTCTCTGACAAGGAGCGGAGTGACAAAATTCACGTCAGGTGTTTGATCCTTGAATGGACCCGATTTCATGTTGACAATGTGTGACCCAGACGACAACCGGTTGTCGGTACCTCATGCGAGGGAAGCTTAGCCACTCGGTTGAGAGCGTCGCGGCAAGTTGCAGTGCAAGTTTTGTGGCTCAACTCCTTGTTCGAGACGGAAGAGGTCGCGTGCTGAAAGCTGACGCGTTGTGCCGCAGGCATTCAAACGTTAAGAGCAGGTCATATTCAATTTCACTCGTTCGGGTTACATTTGACGGCAATGCCCCATATCCCGACCCTCCAAATGACGTTTTAGACAAAGACTCGTTTTTTCAAAACCCTGAGCATAGTGTTTCGTATTTCACTGGTGTACAGCCCGTAGACCAGGGGGTTCAGGAGAGGCGAGATGAGAAATATCAACACGCCCATCGCCTTTTGCAAGTCACCGGACACATTTTGGAACCTGTGCGACAGGATGGTGAACGTGCCCACGATCTCGAAGATGATCAGGATGACCAGCTGAGCCACGCAGGTATTGACCGCCTTCTTCTTGGGCTCGGTGCGCCTGGTCGCCACGCACGTGATCAAGATCTTGACGTAGGAAAAGGCCTGGACGGACACGCTGACCGCCTGCATGACGGCCGTGTTGACCAGCCCGACGATGTTGTTGACGGACGTGTCGCCGCACATGAGCTTAAGCAGTGAGGGGTTGTCGCAGAACACGTTGGCGACGTCCGAGCGGCAGCGCGACAGCCCGGTCTGCAAGGAGAAGAGCGCCGTGATCAGGACCAAGTCCAGAGTCCACACCAAAGCGACGACGCCGCCCACCACCCTGGGGGTCATGACGGCGCCGTAGCGCAGCGGCATGCAGATGGCCACGTAGCGGTCAAAGGCCATGGCGGCCAGGATGAAGAGGATGCCGCCGCCGTACAGGTGCAGCAGGAAGGCCTGGAGGACGCACAGCGGGTACGGCATGCGGTTGCTCTCGGCGACGATGCCCGACAGGACTTTGGGCAGCATGGCCGTGATGCCCATCAGGTCGTTGAGCGGCAGGCTGAGCAGGATGAAGTAGACGGGCTTGTGCAGGTTGCGGTGCAGCACGATCGCCGCCAGCAGCGTCACGTTGCACAAGACGCAGAACAAGTAGACGAAGATGCCCACGAAGAAGATGGGGTACTTGCCACCCAGCGGGATGACAAACGTGTCCAGGCTCACGTAGGCCGTGGCGCCCGCAGACTCGTTTGACATTTTGACATTGACACACGCGGCGCAATCAGACGCGACCATCGAAGCGGATCGCGAACGGGGTGAGGGAGCGTGAGGAATGGAGGAGGGTCTCCCCGCATCCTGCTTTTAATGCAGTCGCCGAGGATAAATGGGTGACATCACTGCCCTCCTCCGGGATTATCGACTTGTTTATCCGAGTATCTGTGACATCAGCAGAGGTGGCAAAAACCGGATTGCTTCAACGCCTTTACTTGAGGAAAAATAACAGAGACAAAACGGTTCTTAAATTTGGTTGCAGTCTCTGGTGGTGTCGTGGCACAAGCTGCCTTTCACACAGACGCCGCCGGATTTCCGGCCACCGCCCCAATACCGAGCCACTGCCGGTCCCAAACCGGGATTTAAAAAAAAAAAAAATGTTCCTCACCGAAACTGAGCACTGATACCACTCGAACTTTCCATCCATCCATCAATTTTCCGATCCACTTTCTCCTCATAAGCATTGCGGGGCTTGCTGGAGCCAATCCCAATTGTCCGGGCCGCCCACTCGAATTTTTGATCCCTCCATTTTCAATGAACACTGAAAATCGGGAGCAAAGACCTTTTCTTTTTGGCGCACAAAATGATTCAGTGCTTTGTCAATCCGCTGCTGGCAAGAGGGCCTGACTGAACATCATTTTTTTTTTTTTTAAATCGCAGGTGCCGGCCTTGGGAGCCTTCATGAGTTCTCCTTGAAAGAAAGCCATATCGGCCACAATACCGATACCCGGCATTGGTCCTCATTTGGCAGTTTTGACTGGTCCCTTGTAAAAACTGCCAAGAAAATGGTGTGAGTGACTCGTGTTATTATGGTTTATGCCAAGACTGGTAGAAACCAAGACCGACATAAAATGCATTTTATTTCACTCTGAGATTGGAAAAAAAAAATCATCCATCCATCCATTTTTTTAATCCTCTTTTCCTTACGAGGGTCGCGGCCTTGCTGTAGCCTATCCCGTCTGTCTTTCGCGGGGGACACCCTGAACTGGTTCTCCAGCCGATCGCAGGACACACATCGATGAACAACCATCCGCGCTCACACGAGGGACAATTCGGGTGTTCACTTCGCTTAGCCTTCATGTTTTTGGAATGTGGGAGGAAAGCGGAGTACCCAGAGAAAAGCCATCGAGGCACGGGGAAAACATGCAAACTCTGCACAGGAAGGCCGGAGGCCAACATGCTCACCAGTTGACAACTGCCAAGAAAATGGTGTGAGTGACTCGTGTTATTATGGTTTATGCCAAGACTGGTAAAAACCAAGACCGATATAAAATGCATTTTATTTCTCTCTGAGATTGGAAAAAAAAATCATCCATCCATCCATCCATCCTCTTTTCCTTACGAGGGTCGCGGCCTTGCTGGAGCCTCTCCCGTCTGTCTTTCGCGGGGGACACCCTGAACTGGTTCTCCGGCCGATCGCAGGGCACACATAGATGGACAACCATCCGCGTTCACACTGAGGGACAATTCGGTTGTTCACTTCGCTTAGCCTTCATGTTTTTGGAATGTGGGAGGAAAGCGGAGTACCCAGAGAAAAGCCATAGAGGCACGGGGAAAACATGCAAACTCTGCACAGGAAGGCCGGAGGCCAACATGCTCACCAGTTGACCACCGTGCTGCCTTGGGAAATAATTGAAGAGCCTATTTTGTCAAAAAAAAAAAAAAAAGATTTTGAAACTAAGTATTAGCGACGACCAGAATGACATCAGCCTCATTGCTGTCAAAACACCTTGTTATTATTAATGAGTTCCTTTGGGAGCGATGCAGATATTGTTTTGTTATTAACTAACTGCCTGGCATGGTAATTAGTCCCTGTAGGCTCCGTTTCATCTCCTGGGCGTCAATGACGATGCCATTTGTTAGTGTGTTTAACGACGGGCCGATCGCAGGGCACACATAGATGGACAACCATCCGCGTTCACACTGAGGGACAATTCGGTTGTTCACTTCGCTTAGCCTTCATGTTTTTGGAATGTGGGAGGAAAGCGGAGTACCCAGAGAAAAGCCATAGAGGCACGGGGAAAACATGCAAACTCTGCACAGGAAGGCCGGAGGCCAACATGCTCACCAGTTGACCACCGTGCTGCCTTGGGAAATAATTGAAGAGCCTATTTTGTCAAAAAAAAAAAAAAAAGATTTTGAAACTAAGTATTAGCGACGACCAGAATGACATCAGCCTCATTGCTGTCAAAACACCTTGTTATTATTAATGAGTTCCTTTGGGAGCGATGCAGATATTGTTTTGTTATTAACTAACTGCCTGGCATGGTAATTAGTCCCTGTAGGCTCCGTTTCATCTCCTGGGCGTCAATGACGATGCCATTTGTTAGTGTGTTTAACGACGGCCCCCGGTGTGACCCCCTTGTTTGTTATGTTGATTTTAAACTTTGAAAATGTCACAAGTTGGATTTGAACCGGCGCTCTCGGTGGGCACTTGTTTTTTGCTTTTCACTCGCACCGTGAAGAAAAGCAAATGACATTTCAAAAACGCATACCAAACGTGACTAACGAATCGGAGGTATCTGTATCAATACAGTTAGACTGAAATACTGACTAAGTATTAGCGACGACCAGAATTACATCAGCCTCATTGCTGTCAAAACACCTTGTTATTATTAATGAGTTCCTTTGGGAGCGATGCAGATATTTTTTTGTTATTAACTAACTGCCTGGCATGGTAATTACTCCCTGTAGGCTCCGTTTCATCTCCTGGGCGCCAATGACGATGCCATTTGTTAGTGTGTTTAACGACGGCCCCCGGTGTGACCCCCTTGTTTGTTTTGTTGACTTTAAACAGTGAAAATGTCACAAGTTGGAATTGAACCGGCGCTCTCGGTGGGCACTTGTTTTTTGCTTTTCACTCGCACCGTGAAGAAAAGCAAATGACATTTCAAAAACGCGTACCAAACGTGACTAACGAATCGGAGGTATCTGTATCAATACAGTTAGACTGAAATACTGATTCGCAACAAGACGTCGTGTTTACGGTCAATGTAGCCAACAGCGCAAAATGGTCCGAGTGGTCAAAAAGCCATCAAAAGTGGACGGTTGAGCCTTTTTGTTGATATCTCGGGAAATGTGTCGCACTAATTGAATCATCCGAGGGGTCGCAGAGTTCTCGGGAACTGTTGCGCACGGTTAATGGCCACAATGCGGCAGCGGTTAGGACCTTTGGAACGGACTAATTGTGTCTTGCCACCCGTGAGACCAAGCGTGGACACTTCAGATCCTGAGTGGTCCCTTAATTAATTTGATTGCGAATGGCTACAAATCCTTTGGCCCTGACAGAGACCCTGAGAGAGGAGTGCTTATTTGTAGCCCAGAGAGCAAAGAGACGCGGATAGCATTTCAGACTGACGGGAACAAGTGACTACATTTTAATGGAACAGATATTCAAATGGTATGCTACGCACGGACTACAACATTTGGTGCCCCCGTAACGCGCTGATGTCGAGCACGACTCCACTGAACCGACGGGCGAGGTGTCAGACGGCTTTGCCCATGATGAGAAGACTCATGAAGAAGACCATGATGAAGAAGGACCACATGAAGAAGCGGTCCAGTACCTTGGCCACCTTCTTCCACTCGCCAGTCCTCTTTTGAGTGGCCCGTTGCTCCCTGTAGCAGTTGGCGATGTACTCCACATTCGGCAAGAGCAGACGCCTCTCGTCGCAGGGCGGCCCACGAGAGGCCCGCCTCTCGCTCACGCCCCCTTTGCGGCATCTCCTCGCACGGCCCAGGTCGTCGTCGTCGTCCATGCTGACGACGGCGGCGTTCTGCCGGGGGCTGTAACAATCGGTGTGCTTCACCCCCAACGACCCATCCAAGTCTTCTTTTTCCTCTGCGGGCACGGGGAAAGCTGTCGCCGTTCCAAAGGTCTGTTGCTCTCAGCATGCCCGTTGGTTTCTGCTCGCTCATTTGACTGAGGTCAACCTGAAGGAAAAGTAGAACAAGTAAAAACCTTGCTCCAGAGTGGCTTTGAAGGAAAAGCATCTGTGGCTAAAGCCCAACTGTGGCAGGGGTTGTGTTTTCGGAACCGGGATTCGACACCCCTGCCCGAACCCCCCAACCCAAAATCGACTTGGACTCTTGGGTCAGGCCTTTCTCAGGACTAAATGTTGTTCCTTCTAATTCTGAGGACTCTCCGTGGGCACTTTTTCCCCCCAAAAAATGCATGTAGGTTCAGAAAACTAAATGGTTGTCTTTTGATTCCTCGCTTTAAAGATCGCCGCAGAGATTCGGATGTTTAAGCTGCTTGATTTGTTATTTTTATCTCTCTCCTTTACCCACGGTTGGGATCAGTCGGCGCCAGTGTTAAAGTGTGACTGGCCATGTGACTGACCGGAGATGTCACGCTCACCCGCGGTTATCTGGCTTCAGCTCGGAAGAATGGAAGGACGCATGGGGCCATTGCGATCACACAACATAACCTCGGTAATAGCGGTGACGGATTGAGCTTTCACCCCTACCGATGAGCGGTACATTCTCCGATGGTGGCATAATCTCGGCGACCAGCAGTTGAAAGACGGTCAGCGCCAGCATCACGGTGACGCCCAAAGACACTTTTTCTCCCGAGTCCGCAGGCAGGTAGAAGCCCAGCGGAGCCAGGAAGGAGATCATCACGCAGGGTATCAGCAGGTTGAAGACGTAGAAGGAGGCCCTCCTCTTGAGTTTCAGCGTGAAGGTGACGTCGGGGTAAGGGTCGGCGCAGCAGCCGTACAAGACGATGTTCCTTTTGGCCGCCATACCCAGGACTTGCCACTCCACGTTGTCCACCAGGTCGGCCAGGTCGGCGCTCTCCATGGCGTTGAGGATGTCCAGCTGGTTGCCGTTGTAGGTCCACGAGCCGTAGGTGAACCTGCACTGCTGCGCGTCAAAGGGAAAGAAGGACACGTCCACCTTACAGGAGCTCTTGGTGATCGCCGGCGAGTCCCACGTGATCCGGCCGTCGTGGCGGATCACCACGTTGGTATCCATGGGGCCCGTGAAGTGGTCGTCGGCGCTGAAATTCAGAATCACACGCTGCGCTGAGAAGCGGACTGGATTTATTCCATTGACGAGGCATGCGCTCCAACTGGGGTCCTAAATTGGAACTTGGAGCTCCAGTTCCACTCCAAGAGAACTCTCAATGTTGCGCAGCTTTAAAATAAGATCACCAAACATGTCCTTACCACATCACAGATCAAAATAACATCACCCTAGCTCCTCCAAAACTTAAATTGGTCCAAGTAAGAGCATTGTACAGTTTAAATAAGACAACCATAAGAATCCAGCCAACCTTGTGTGGGTTAACACAAGACAGCAGCAAAACGGCCTCAAAATTGCAATATAAGACGACCTTGAATCCAGCACAGGTTTAGCAAAGACCCCGAAAAGACACAAGTGCTCCCACCGTGGGACGAGTCCACAGGTTGTTGTGCTCGTTCCACAGTCGTTTGTGTCTGGGTTTTACGCCTTTCCAGTTCGGCAAAGTCGAGGGGAGTCCAGTCTCAAGAACCAGTCAACCACTCTCCACTTTGTCCATTTACTGGTGCATAAAAACCAGACAAGAGGTCTGCACACTCCCATGAATAACGTCTTCAAGGAATGTCCAGCTTGTGTCTTTGGGATCCAAACCGAATGGTCGTACAATGGAATCTCGACACCAGTCCGACCTACTTGTTATATAGGACTATATCAGGTCTCCATACATAACTGCTAGGTATACGGATGGTATCAAGGCCATCGTAGTCCTCCTTACTCCATTTGAGATGCGCGTCGCGCCACGCTCGTCGTATCCACAAGTAGGCCGTCAGTATTTGATTTCGCTCATCCTGTAAAACATCCCTTATTAACCGTTGCCATGAACTGCATAGCACAAATCCACACAAAGTTGCGCAGGGTGACATAAGACATCAATTCCCAATCAGAAAAAAAAAAAATCAGATTACGGTAAATCTTCATAAAAAAGCCTTTTACCATGTCGATGATTTGCGAGAGCGTGACCTGCAGGGTGACATTAAGAACGGCCTCCGTGTCCTCCACCGGCCTCAGAGCGCTCGTGTAGTTGTCAAACAGATCATTGAGGAGTTTCCGAGCAAATCTGCTGTGGGCGCATCGGGAGACTGTGGACACGGGAGACAATGTCACCGCGTGCAAAGGACACTCATTTGAAGAAATCACCGCAATTTGGGGGTAAATGCTCCTTTGGTCCCATCGTGTCCCATGAAGAACCTTTTTTATGTTCTGTCCTCTTTTATCCCATCTTGTCTCGTATTACATCCCATTTTGTCCTATAGGATGTCACCTGTGTCCTATTTATAGTCTCCCCTATTGTGTCCCATCAAGTCCTATTATGTGTGATTTTGTCATATAGTGTCGCACAAAGCCCCGAGCAGAATCTCCCATTTTGTGTGTGGCAAAAAAAAAAAAAGAAGAAAAAATGGTATGAGTTGCATCGAGCCCTTTTAAAACAATACACCAAAGCCTTTGAAAAGCTAGCAGCTCAGTGGCCACACAAATTGCAGTTAGCTAGTTGTCAGGTCCTTTGGGGCTAACGCTAACCAGTGGAGCCGAATGCTAACATTAGCTGCTAGCCACTAGGTTGTTGGCTGATACCTGGGGTTGGTTAAGGTTGTGTTTGACAATGAGAGGAGTGTTGGCTTTTGGGAAGTTTTTTTTTTTTTTTAACACTTATCTGGTGGTCAGTATAATCACCTCTTGTTTCCCCTCTAGTATGATACACAAATGTTTGCTCAAATATTTACAGGTTTTATGATCGGGACAACAAACCAGGGATGGGAGTAAGTCACAAGTGTTAACAAAAAAAAAAAAAAAAAAGTCAAGCGAGTCAAATGGACTCCCCACTAACGTCGAGCAAGTGGAGTCAAAGCTTTGCTTTGGCCACACACGTCACTTCGCACACAGTATCTTGCTCACTTGCTTCTTGACATCTAGACTTTGCCCTAGTTTACTGATATAACTTCGAACCATGAAAGTCCGAAGTCCTCAAATTGGCAACATTAGTCTGATTGTGACAAAGTCTCCCAGCTTTGCGGTTTATCTTAGAACAGACGCTTCCTACTTTCTTTTTTTCCCGATGACTTGCACTACTCATTCTCCGTTTTGGCTGCAATTACGTAAGTGAATCAGCTGGTTTCAGACGTGGCAGATGGTGGGCCGAAGCCTCGGCAGGATGGATTGTCCCTCGCCGTGACGACTTTGCGAGGAGATCCTGACGCAAATCCGCTATTAAAAACGTGCACACACGTCCTCCCTCCGTTGCGCATGTAAGTGTAAAATGTTTGTCACACACACACGCACACACACACAGAAGGCATGAACACGTGTTTCAACTTTTGGGTTGTTAGTTATTTAATAGGACAGTGTGTTAATGGGAGGCGTATTGAAACATTTGGATGCATGTGCACACACACACACACGCACACACGCATACACGCTCACTAACAGGAGGGATTGCAATGGTGGTGAAATCCCAAACAGCTGGGCGCCACAAGATCATTTTGCATGGAACCAAGCCAGCATCCATAAAGAATAAAATCTACACGAAACCGACATTTCATTAGATACGTTTACATTCTTTAAAACTACAGTTTTGGAAGGTTCGGGGAGATTGTGCACTATAAGGATTTTTTAAAAAGTATTACTAACATGGTCCCGAATGCATAAAAAATTAATTATAAATTAAAAACTGAAATGATTTCCGAAAAATGTGAGTGTAAATACAAATTGAAACAGAACTACGATTTAAACAACTATTTTTTCAAAAATTTTCGATCAAGAGAATATTAACATTTTATTTAGAAATAGAAATAGAAATTATTAGTGCCTCCTATCAATTGCAATCTTTTTTTAAATACACTCCCGACGCGCGCGCGCGCAGAAAGAGCCTTACTTACCTGTCAACATTGAGACACAAACAAACAAGCACAATAAACTTTGCATTTCCGATCGTTTCATGCAGCTAAAAGCGGTCAATCTCAAATCCACGACCATTTGAACAATTCCAGACACACAATAATGAACTGATATGAAGAAAAAAGCGAAATGACACGAAGCACGCTTCGTGTATGCTTGAGCTTCGTTTTTACCCTGTGTGCGTTTGTGTGTGGACCGGGAGAGCCCGGGGAGGCGGGGCAAAGTGCCGATGACGTCAACGCCCTCACGTCGTTTGTTGGCTTCAGCACCGCGGAGAGCTCAATCGCCACCCCCTCCCCAGCGAAAAAAACATCCGGACGTGATGAATCGACCACGTAACGCGTGATCCGAGGTGTTTGGGTGCGCGCGTGCATCCCCCCGCGCGTGCACGTCGTGTGTTGGTTTTTTTACGCTGCAGCAAGCCGCCCCCCTTCATCTCCATCGACGACAGGCTCTGGAGCGGGTGACAACGTGTTCTTTTGTATTGCGTGCGTGCGCGTGGGTGCGTTCATGTTTTTTTTTTTTTTTTGTCACGAAGTGGCTGCCATCTTTACAAGGTCTTTTCATTAGGCACACCCGCAAAAATGCTTGGTGGAGATAATACTGTAATAATCGTCAACAGCTGGTTTCTTATCGTGGCTGGGGAACCTGTGCTGCTGCATCATTCTGCGGGCGTATTGACAGAGTGCTAATGCGCAGCAATAGCGTCGCGTCCGACGAGCTACAAGATCAACAAACCAAACCGAGAGATGACACAGTCCGCTCCCAAAGTATCGGAACGGCAAGGTCAACTCCTTCGCTGTGGTTCTATACGGCAGACATTTGGGTTTCCGATCAGTCAAAAGGTGAATTTGAGACAAAAGTTCAGAATTGCAGCTTTGACTGTGTTTCGCGGTGTTGACATTGAGATGTGCTCGACAAATCAGGAGAGTGAGCACCTTTTGTTTGAGGCTGGCCTCAAAAGAATCGGTACACATGACTGTTGCTCGTTGCTCAGGTGTTTTTGCCTTTTAGATTGATGCCTGTTGCAATCTGTGATGTCAGATCTTGAACACAACAAGTCATCGAATACAGTGGACGTGCAGGGTTCAGAAAGAAAATTTCCAGACAGCTATGAGCTCATTTCTAAAATCAGAGTTCACAACAGGCTTTGAGTCGCTGATCACCTTCTGAGGTTCTCGACTGAACTCATGACTGGGAATGTCAATAGAGATGCGTTGAAGACGATGGATGATTGTGATATGAGGTCACCTGGTTACCAGCCAAAGCGTTCAGGGTGGGCGTGGCACATGGGATGACATGTTGTTGTTGACATTCTCCCAATACCAGCAACCCAATGCCCGTCGCACAGTACGTTCCAGTTAAACCGCTCCGCGGCCCGCTCTTGGCTATCGTGCATGATCTTGCGTTCCAGTGCCAGTTAGCTCACCCCTGGGTGTCATGCCAAACCCCAGCTGTGTGCCATTGGGGCTTGATCGAGAGCTCTGCTGCATGCATTCAGTGGAAAAATGTCCCGGGCTGAAAAACATTCCATGTAAAGTGACATTTTCTCCTGAATCTCTCCACCGATCATACTTGAGGGTTCCGAAGCGATAAAGATCCGACTGTGAACAAGAAGGAGCCACACGTAAAGGTGAGCGAGTGGAACTGCTTCCTCATTTCTTTTTGGCGCACGCAGTCTTTGACGGGCACACGGATCGCCGTCGTTTAACTTCATCCAGTCTTTGTCTGCATTGTTTCTGCGCAATTCATGTGTCTCTGAAGATGTACCAGCTTCAGTGACATCGACAGGCGAAAATCTCACTGCTTGACAACGGATTGCACGTAATCCACCCAACCGTGCGCAGCCATCTTGATGGGATTCTCTTTCACCACTTAGCTCGAAAGCTTCTTCACGAACATCTCGCCTGGATCACTGTAATGCACTTTATTTCGGAGTCAGCCAGTCCTCCCTCAAGCGTTTCCAGTCGGTCCAAAATGCTGCTGCTCGGCTCCTAACTGGAGCTCGTCGGAGGGAGCGCAGAACTGCAATTCTGGCCTCCCCTCACTGGCTCCCTGTACATGTTGGGAGTTCATTTTAAGATTGATTTTCTTTGTCTTTTAATCTTGCAATGGCCTCGCTCCACCTTGCGCGTCTGCCCGATGCCTCACGTCAGTGGACTGGACGCTACTGGAGGTGGCGGAGCCTCAGAGGGAGGTTGGGTCTTTTCTGTTGCCGGTCCATCCCTTTGGAATAATCTTCAGTGAAATGTTCAACAAGCTGTCCATCTTTCAAACTCATCTTAAAGCACATTGCTGTTATTTGGCTTTCAACTCTGCGCATGTCCCATTGGTTCGTGAGGCTTCACTTTGCCCATCACTAGTTGACAGCATTATGATGCATGTCGGCTCTTTTCTTTCGGCAGCCGCTGTGGCGCATCACAGCTCGCACATCAGAGTCTTCCAAGACATCAAAGTAGGATTTGCCACACTCCTTGGCTGAAGTCTTGTTTTTGTGGAGGGGTTTGGCTTGATGTGATCAGGCAGGCGCACTGTACGTATCGCTGGTGTCTGGTTGAAACCTCCCATGTCAAAATTAGTTTTTTTTCCCCCACACCTCTATTGGTCAGTCCCCACATGTGGGCGCTATTTTAGACAAATTACGAAGCAATCTCAAGCATTTTGCTTGCGTCTTTGTGACTATGCAATGTTAATGGTTGAACAAACATGCTATTTTATTTTTATTTTTTGTTCTCCGACAAACGATGGTTTTGCCCATATGAGGAATCCGCCCGACAGCAGCGATATTTCAAGAGGAATCTCTTGGAGGCTTGAACTCAAGCGTGAACATTTTGGTAAGCTACGCTATTTCACCGGAAATCTTGGCTCACTCGCATCTGAACAAAGTGACATTCCATTCTCAGTTCGTAGGCTTTGACATGACGTCACTCCAACCTTTGCGGGGAACACTTGGTGATGTCCGCGGAGGAAGGCTCACGAAAGTGTTTATTGCAACTTTTCACCACCTTGTTGAACAAGAAGATCAGGACTCTGCGCAGGCCAGTCAAGATCATCCATTTTAATCTCTCGCATCCATGGGCTCGCAGCATAAATCTGTTCAGGGGGCGCATGAGACCAGGTGTTGATCATTTCACAGACGTTTGCAACCCGGCGGGTTGAGAAAAGGTCCGCTGACACCTTTGTGGGCCTGAACACAGATGACTGACTCCATTTGTCGGCAATCAAAGTGTCGCAATATGAGGGCAAAAGTCTGCTGCTGTCGTTTCGCGGAATTTTACATCATGTTCAAAAAGCCTCTTCTATCTCTCGCCTCCTTTCCGCCTTTCTGTCTTTCTTTTTACCTTTGGGTCGCAGGGGCAGCAAGCAGGATCTGCGATGATTTCGGGCCCATACGGCAACGAGAAGCCCCTGGTGATCCGCGTCTCCTTCATGACGTGCGCCCTGGGCATCGTCTCCCTGCCGCTGATGGGCCTCGTCGCCTGCGTCCTCATCTCGTCCATCTTTCACTTCGAGGATTCCACGAGGACGCACTGCCATGTCAGACCAAGATGACAAAATGTCCTTTGGCGCCACACACACTCGCCGTTTACCTTGTCGCGTGATTTGGTTGGTTCCTCAACAGGTTCCCAACTACCTGCCGTCCATCAGCGCCGCCATCAGCCTGAGCCCGGAGTGCCACATCTGGCGCTTCTGCGTGGGCCTGCACTCGGCGCCCCGCTTGCTGGTGGCCTTCGCCTACTTCAAGTTCTACAAGGTGCGCTTCACCCCCCGCCTGCCCGAGAGCGCGCTGGCCTACCTCAGCCTGGCCTTCTCCGTCTCTGAGAACCTCGGACTGCTGCTGCTCACCTACGTGTCGTCCAGCGAGACCTACTGTGAGTACTCAAGGGGCGTGTGGCTCTTTCAGCACCGAAAGGGTTGCATGGGGTCGTTTCGGCTTCCCAACTATTCTCGGGGAGAGGGTTCCATACCCACAGGACGAACACCCACTCCTTTTCTAAAGCGGTGTCGCACCCATTTGGGATGCGCGTGTTTCAACACACCCACTTTTCCTGTTAAAAGTGTGCAACATCCACACTTTTCCTTTAGGAGACCACACCTGGATGTGACCTGGGTGTTGCAACATTCACACAACTGTACACCCACGCTTTAACCCAAATGTGTTCTGTGGGTGTGTTGCAACCATGGTGGCGACACCCACACTTTTCCTATGGGATGTTGCACACATTGGGGAAACTATTCCAATAAAAAGTCTTCAACACGCCACATTTTTCCCACTCCCATGGGTAAAAAGGTTCCGCACCCACATTTTTTGAGGAGGGCCGTTGCACCCATGTGGGTGTGTTTCAATCCCCCCACATTACATACACACGTACACACGGAGCGCATGAAGAAGCAAATGTTTGCGGGTGTCCCCTTTCTTTAACACAAGCTTTACCTTCCCTTTCCGTCATAGTTGTCCACAAGGAGGGCTTCGTCCTCTTCATTCTCAGCTCCTTCGTCTACATGCTCATCACGTGCCGTCTGTGGAAGGCCATCAAGAGGTATTCCTTGAACCCCGAGGTAAGTCGCTCCTTGCGGTGCACGTTTTTCACACCGCTCGCCACCCTGACGTGAGCGTTTCATTTTGTTTGTGTGAGCACGCTCCTCATCACTCCATTTCAAATCACCTTTCTGATTGGAATAAATGTCATACAAACTGATTGACTGTTCGCAAGCAAATCAGCGTGTGAGATAGAAGAAGAGGATGAGATGGCGCACAAGCAACCAATCAAAATGGCGTCATCTAGTAAATTAAGCCCAGCAAAACCTTTGTTTTTACTCGGACTTTTGAGCCTGCTTATATTATGAGTGCGTTGAGCAAGATTCTGGCCGCGTGTGCTTGTTACTGGAATGAAACCCCGACTGTGGATGGTATGGCATTCACTGACTTCTCAGTTACAGAGGGGATGACCAACATGTTCGCATGCACTTATGGGCACCCCTCAGTCAAATGTTTCATCACCTCGGCCACCCCGCTGAAAAAAATTCTGGCTAAGCACCTAGTCCCCATCTCCCCACAAATAGCGGTGGTCCGCACTATATCAGATCATCAGAAATAATGGCACAAAGTACTGTCGGTAGGGTAATAATCAGGATTGCCCCCATCCAATGCATTTCATGCGCTACCCTCAAGAGTGAGACGTGAGTGTGATGACTCCGATCTAATTTCACTGTGTGGTCACCATTTGAACAGATGATGATGATGATGATGGATTGTTGGTCATTTGTTTTTGTCATTTTCCCAGGATGCCAAATCCCATCACTGGAAAGTGCGTTTACTGATCCTCAACTTGAGCTTCTGCGCTTTTGCCACATTCTTTTACATCAAACACAACTTGTACTGTGAGTCGGGGAGTAAGTATGACATCATCATGCCGCCAGTCCGTTCAGTATTTTGGAGGGAATTCGTGAGGAGTGTGAGGGTACACCAAATGTAAACATTTGGTACGTACATTGATGCTTAGGTCACAGTTGAGTTCACAAAATGCAAAACATGAAACAGCTCCCTTCAATAGGAACATAAATGGAAATCATCAACAACAAAAAAACAAGTGAAAAGTACTTACAAGTCAATTCTCAAATAGGTTCGAGATTCTCGATAAACAAAATAGCGGAGACACATTTTTAAATGAATACTGTTGTATTTTCTTTCTCGGAAATGACATGTCTCTTCTTCAGAGATGAGCGATGCATAAAAAGTGACTTTTTTTTTAAAGTTGAATTGTAAATAAATTTGATGCATCTGTTGCTCTGATGTGTTTGGCGCAATCCTGGTACAGATACCCAACAAAATGATTTATTACACATTATATTTAAAAATGATTTTAATTGGTGTTTTTTTTTTTACAGTTCAAATTACATTATTTTGAATACTACTTTACATGTAGTTTACGACAGTCAATCAGTACCTGTGTGACAGGTTTTTTTTTTTTTTTCAAGAGTACCTGCTCGCTGCGCGAGCTAGCTGTTATATTTGAAGTTGGTCGTCCTGAGAGGAAAACAAAGAAGCTATTTTTCAATGACACGAGGGAATCACTTTTTACTACAGTTACATTGTGCCTTGGGATAACTCAAATTTACACAGCATGTTTCTGTCTACCATTTCTGGAATGGCCCATTATTACAATTAATAGTTGACTCCCCCCCAACCCCCAGGTTACACATTGTTTGCCCTGTTTGAGTATCTCATCGTCTTCTCCAACATGGCCTTCCACATGACGGCGGCGTGGGATTTCAGGAGCCACGACGTGATGGTTATTTCCTGCTCGGAGCCGAAGGACTTCTGAATAGAGACTTCCCCCAAGAAGCCCCTCCCACATGTGAGGAGAGGACATAAAGTAGATGCACAGAAGTTGGAGGACGGATGCCAGCGTGCCAAGATGCTGAAATGTTCCTCGCTCCGTTTTACTTGTGACGTGCATTAACACAGCTGCTTGTTTTGCTTACTTATGCAGGGAGAGACTCAGCAGTAAGTCAAATGGCAACAGCTGATTTGATCACAGTGTGCCAAAGGAGCAGCTCTTTGATTGAGCTTAAAAAAAAAAAAAAAAGCATAAACAAAATCAGATTTATTGCAGAGCGGCAAGCACAATGTTGTTATTTATTCTAAATTGTCCTGGAGCTGCCATGATTACTTTGATTTTTTTTCTCAGAAGAACATTGTTCTCTTGAAGAGGAAATAAAAATGTCTTGAAAAAAAAATCTGAAAAATATTGACATTTTTTATTTAGCATTTCAAAGAATATTTGTGGTGTAATATAATTTGTGTTGAATGTCAAATTTAAATAATCCAAACACTGAAACTTAACTGCCATTTTAGGTTGTTATGAATTGAATGACATTTTTCAAACACACTAATCCTTTTCATTATTTTTTAAAATTATTACTTCTTGTGGAACTAGTGCACTAGCACACAGATGACGACTAGTACACAAAGTTGAATGCCACAGTTGTCCTCTTAATGTGTAGAAATGTTACAGAGCAGGGAAGGCAGTCGTGGAAATACCAGGAAGACAGCCTCTCATCGAGTGCGCTAATTTGTCTTTGTGAGGACAAAACATGGACCCAAGCTGGACATCAAGGCTAGCAAGTCTATCAAGCCACTTGTGACATGACAGCGTGATACTAGTTAGCATTGAAAACTTGATAAGTACTTGTAGAAATAGTCGCATGCAAATGTCAACTCGTGTATATTTGCCTCCCTATAACATAGTTGCCCTACTAGGATGACAAAAATATTACCGGTAAGACACACTATAGTCTACTAGTGCGCTGAATTTTCTAACCAATGGCCGTTTTGACAAGGAGCGCACTACTACATATAAACTTAATGCTGGTAAATGTTAAAAGGCTACAAAGCTAGTCTTGCTCAAACAAAAGTAGATTAGTTAGCATCGAGGTTTTACTTGTGGAACTAGTAGCAGGCAGAAGTCAGTTTTGCCTCATTGGCAACATAGTTGACCTGCTTGAGGAAAACTTGTTACTCGTGAGACAGGCGTTCTCTTAGCCCGCTAAATTGTCTAACTAGTGAGTGCACTAAAGTTCATTGCACTAGTAGAACGGCTGCGTCTTACTAGAATTTGTTCTGATTCCTGTGCGGGCATTTCTGCACACTCATGGTGGGACAACTCCAAATTACTATAAGGAGGCAAAACTACTGGCCTCTACTTGTAGAGTCCGGGAGGCTACTGGTGTGTGACAACTGCTACTAATTAGGCTGAGTTGTGTCACTAGTGCAGCGCCACATTCGTTGCTACTAGTACAGCTTACGAGAAAGGGCAAAGAGTCAATTAGTATGCGTGACAGGATTGGCTATCAAATGACGTGGCGCGTCTTTCCATACTCAACCACAAGATGCCCCCCTCGAGTTATGCCC